CATATTATTCTCTCTTAAGAAAGAGATAGTTTTTGGTTTTTTCTGTGGGTGATTTTTTCTCAGAGCTTTGTCTCCAATGGCTTCAGAGAAATCTAGCTCCAAGGGTCAAGCATGGTGAAGAGAGCTTAGCTTACACTGACTTCAATAAAACAAATGCTCTGTTTTTAAACCTAAGAAATTTCTCATATCCATTTTTCTTTGTTTTTGATGCAGGTTTTGTACTACGGGTTTACCTAGTGATATTGAAATCGAAGTTGATGACATGACATTTCATCTCCATAAGGTGTGTTGTGTTCATAAACTCGTGAGATTTTGTCTTCTTCTTTGATTGATTTCTCATACATTTTTGTTTTTAGTTTCCTCTCATGTCCAAGAGTAGGAAACTTCATAGATTGATTACAGAGCAAGAGACAAGATCATTCTCTACTCCAAATCCTCAAACCTCTATGGCACTAACTGTAGAAGAGAGTGACATGAAAGGAAAATCCCATGAAATCGAGAATGATGAAGAAGACAACAAGGAAGAGCAGGAGATTGAAGAAAATGGTTATCCTCACATAAAACTGTTGGATTTTCCAGGGAGTTCAGAGAGCTTCGAGATGGTTGCAAAGTTCTGCTATGGCGTCAAGATCGACCTCTCTGCTTCCACTGTTGTTCCTCTCCGTTGCGCCGCCGAGAATCTCGAAATGACGGAGGAGTATTCGCCGGATAATCTAATCTCGAAAACGGAGAGGTTTCTCTCACATTCCGTCTACAAAAGCTTACGAGAATCCATTAAAGCTCTAAAAGCTTGTGAATCAGTCTCTTCTTTATCTGAATCGCTTGGTATAACAGAACAATGCATAGACTCTATCGTCTCCAGAGCTTCCACAACCGATCCATCACTCTTCGGTTGGCCGGTAAACGACGGCGGAGGAGGAGTAGCCGGAGAAATCTCAGTCACCGATCTCCGGAGAAAGAAACCGAATAGGGATTCGTTATGGTTTGAAGATATGGCCACTCTGAGCTTACCAATCTTCAAAACTCTGATCGTATCAATGAGATCTAAAGATCTGAGCCCAGAAATCATCGAGAGTTGCGTAATCTGTTACGCTAAAAAGCACATTCCCGGAATTTCCAGATCTAATCGGAAACCACCATCGTCGTCATCTTCGGAGAACGAACAGAGAGAATTACTGGAGACGATAACCTCAAATCTTCCATTAGAGAAAACCTCAATCTCCGAAACAACGAGATTCCTCTTCGGTTTGTTACGAACATCAATCATCCTCAACGCTTCCGAGACTTGCCGTGATCTTCTCGAGAAGAAGATCGGATCTCAGCTAGAGCAAGCCACGCTCGACGATTTGCTCGTCCCTAGTTACTCCTACCTCAACGAGACTCTATACGATGTTGATTTGGTAGAGAGAATCTTAAGCCACTTTCTCGATACACTGGAACAAGCAAACAACACCGCCGTGATCGAATCCGACGGTCGATCTCCGTCGTTGATGCTCGTCGGAAAACTAATCGACGGATTTTTAGCAGAGATCGCATCGGACGCTAATCTCAAATCGGGGGAATTCTACAATCTAGCGATTTCATTACCTGATCAAGCTCGACTCTACGATGATGGACTGTACAGAGCCGTTGATGTATATCTCAAGGTAATAATACTAATAGATTTGTTATCGGAGATTGGATCTGATTGATTTTGTTTGTCTCTGTAATAGGCGCATCCATGGGTATCGGAAGCAGAGAGGGAGAAGATATGTGGAGTGATGGATTGTCAAAAGCTGACACTCGAAGCTTGTACACACGCAGCGCAAAACGAGCGGCTTCCACTACGAGCAGTAGTACAAGTCCTCTTCTTTGAACAGTTACAGCTTCGGCACGCGATCGCCGGGACGCTACTCGCGGCTCAATCGCCGTCTACGGAGGGGAGGCCGTCAGTGACAACTGCAAGAAGGGACGTAACGATAACGGAAGAGGACTGTGATGATGAAAGAAGAGGAGGAGAAGGAGAAGTGGACGTTGGGAAATGGAAGAAGACTGTGAGAGAGAATCAGGTGCTTCGTTTGGATATGGATACGATGAGGACTCGTGTTCACAAATTAGAGAGAGAGTGCTCGAACATGAAGAAAGTGATTGCGAAAATCGACAAAGAAGGTTCACCGGCGGCGACGACTGATCGGCCGAGAAGCTGGTCGATTACGAAGAAATTCGGATGTAAATTCAAGACACAAGTCTGCGATTCGCACGAGGCAACAATGGTTGATCATAGATCACGACGGTCTTGAAATGGATTCAATCAGAAAGCATATTGTTATATGATGATTCTTGGATTTCTATTTTTAATTAATTCTCCGAGATTTCTTGCTGCACAAAATGTGAAACGGCTTTTTCTTTTTCCAAGTAAACAGAATTGTCATAGAAAAACCAAACAATTGTAACCTACACGAAACAAAACAAGAGAGGTGAGCCCAAACTAAGAAGCCAAACAACATAGAAAGTCTTATGAAATCCTAAGCATTTCCATTGGCTTCACATTCTCTATATGATCTATAAAGATGTAAACCCTATGAAGATAAGAAGCTGAAACCCTTAATTCAATTTCAACTCTTACAAGAGTGTTGCGCTCCACATTGTAGTAGAAAATGCTGAAAGGATCATATTGAGTACAATTTCCCCTGTACGTGTCATCCCAACAACGTACAGCCTGGTTTTCGCAGCTTGTTGGTCCCTCCACAAAGGCGGCAATACGTAGACATGCTTTGACCATTTCTCTTCATCGGCATCATCTAGAACAAGGAACTCCAATCTTATGTGTCCACCAATAGAAATAGGAAAATCATATCGAACTGCACCTAATCTACCTTTGCAGTTGATGAGAGTTGAATGGTAAAATGCATTGTCCATAGGTAGAAACTTAAACTTCTCAGACCTAACATCAAAGCAAACGACCATAACAGATCTTTGGATATCCTTCGCCATAGGCTAAATAATACAAAAATCCATTGATGCATATCCCATTCCCACCACCACGTAAACGTGCAGGGGTATGGGGTATCGAACATTCGATCATTCTCCATGACAGTTCTCCTGATCCTAATGTCAAAACTTGATGATAACCATCGTACAACGACAATACCTTGAATATTTTGCTGATCGGATCATACCCAAAAAAAGTTGTCCGCTTAAATCCTACCTTTTCCTCTTTGGGTAAAGCTACGTACTGTCATGTGCTAGGGTTACAGATTACCGGTTCCGCACTATTAGTACAGATCAAGCCATGGACAGGTGCACACATGCCAACAGAACAATTGCTAGGGAAATGCTTGTGATAATCGACAGTTAAAGGAGACGAGTCCTGGTCTGGATTTAGTCTCTGAGGTGCCGACAAGATGAACCATTTACCTTTGTATTGTAAGGCGAACAAGAGACGAGGACGAGCCGAATAAACTGTCAAAAACAGTTGGGTGAAATGTGGACGGTGAAGAAATGAAGCCCATTGCTTCGACAAACAACTTAGCCTCGCTACTGATTTTGCAGGCAATCTCGAGAGAATCTCAGTGATGAGGTCATATGGGACCTCTCTTCCGATTAAGAGATCCTTGTCGGAAACTTGCTTCTGACGTTTCTTCATGACGGCGGCGCTAAGAGCATCCTTATCCATCATCTTTGATGGGTATCATTAGCCTAACTTTATTATTAAATTTAATACTAAAGTAAGTTTTGAGATTCATAAAGAACTTCTTAAGTTTTGTAGGATTATTGATGATACTCAATGGATTTTAAAAGAATATAAATATAATTT